CTGAGAACCAGCAGGGCCAGTCTCTCTGGGGTGACCTTTGACCTTGTGCTCTTCAAATTTTGTTGAGAGCCGTCTAAACATTCAAATGGAACACATATATCACCAAGATGTGAGATCGACATCCCTTCCTTATAGATTAAAGTTCCTTGAGGCTACTGTTTTGGTGCTATGTAAATAAACCCGAATTAAACTGAAGCTTGTAAATAAAATCCTTGGCTGACTTAGGCAGAAAAAATTGAGCACAGGGAGAAAAATGTAACCAGGAGAGAAAAACTGCTCATTACTGCTCTTTACCTACCAGGCAGCTCTTCTGAAGTTGTCTGTGAGATCCTGACATCTGAGTAAGTCAAATCAGCCAAAGAGGAAACAGCCTCTGGGCCTACAACGTAAAATGTGATTGCTGCTCAGTATCACGTGAATTTCTGTTAACTTTTGATAACATATAAGTTTAAAAAGAATGATATTCACACTAAATTCAAAGGTCCACTATAATTAGATCCTAAGGACATAATTCCCCGAAAATGAAAAAACAAAGAAATAAATTTTCTGTAAAAAAATTAATTAATTAAGTATGTAGTTGGTGCATTTACAATACAGTGTAACAATTTTTGCAGAAAAAAGAACATTTTCACATCTTACATCATGTATACAGTGCTCATTTGAGGACATGTCCTTTTATGCTCGAGCTGATGTGCATGTTGCATGTTCTTTTCATTTTAGCCCACTTTATAGTACAGGCAGGCATACAACAGTGATTTAAAACATTTTATTGTTAATGTTATGTTTGAACAGTGAATGTGAAAGGAAAAAAGTTAGACTTGGCTCCATCATTAAAAGACCACATAGGCCTACACATTTTGATGGCAGTTATTTTTTTCTTGTACATTACGAAGAACAGTCGTTCTCACATTTATATTGATATAATAAAAGCACAACTAAATAACTGAGCATCCATCATCCACATCGACATAATGAACATTAAATAAAGATACAAAAATATAAAGATATAAAAAGGCAGGAGCAATGTGGGCTCCACCCCCGTACAGTACAGCATATTTTCAATGTAAGATGGGGAAATATTGTATTTTTCAACAAAAACGTACCATGGGTACCAATTATACACTACTTAAGTTACTTACTTTGTACTTAGGATTACACTGTAAGTAATCCTTTCTTTGTTTCCTGTAATAACCTAACTTGTTACCCCCTTGTTCTAGGGTACCTACATTTAAGTATTTGGACATAAATATAATATATATATAAAATTGTAATTTAAAAAATCCATTGAAATTGCATTGAAGTACAGGGTGATTAAGCCACATTATAAAGTGTAACCCATTAATATTCCAACTAACAAAAAGCCAATAATATTAAGCTGTATGCATATTAAATATAACTCATAAGTACACAAATAAATCAACTCACCTTTGGTTTCCATCGTCCCTCTTTTAAATTTGACATCAGAATAAACTATTTCAGCTTCAGGCATTTTACTGCTGTGTGACCATCGGTGAGTCTGAAAGAGACGTTTCACAGGCACAGACACAATGGAAAATTAAAAAAAAACCTTCCTGTCAAATCGACAAATGGGGAGGGCTTTATAAAGAACTGTTCCACAATATCAGACTGTTTTTTAAACTCGTGGTTATTAAAAAAAAAATGCTCTACTTCCTTTTTATGTGAATAAAATAAATTACAAATTTTCCATAACAAAGATGACGTCGAAGAAATGATGTTTGTATTCTTTTTAATGTTTTCAGAGGAAGTTCTTTATCAGATGCACTGTGAGTTTTATTAAGGAGTCGTAACTTGATTTTTGATCAAACTGAGGAATGATAATAAGCTAAATAAAATACGAAGACTCACCCTTCTTTCTTTCTCTCTCTTCCTCCTTTTGCTGTCGCTTTCTATCCTCTATGTGTGTGTGTGCGTGCTTGCGCGTGTGTGTGTGTGTGTGTGTGTGTGTGTGTGCGTGCGTGCGTGCGCTTTGTTACAGAGGTAAAGGGTTGCCAGGGTCTCTCTCCCACTAATCTTGTATAAATGCCATACCTGGTGACACTGTAAGTCACCAGGGCCGGTATTAGATGATGTTTGTCCAAAATTTTGGTCAATGCGCAGGTCTAATCTACTAATAAAAAAAGAAGTTTAAAATGATTTAATATATCTTACAGTAGGTGCTTTGGCACACAGGAAAACAGATATCAAGAAAAGAAATGTCACTGTGCTAACTACTACATCACCATGCCTGCTTTTAATCATAGCTGTTCATTTAGGTCCATGAGTATTTGAAAAATAATGATATGATGACAGATAATAAATCCACCAATCTATATGTGATTGAAGTGCAGATGTTTCTGTGTTAATTTAAGAGGTTTGGCAGAATTACAACAATTTGCATAGATCACAGCAGACTCATTATGCAGAGAAAGCTTTCCATGACTTAAAATTTGCACTACAGACTGCACTAACTTTAGGATTATCATATCCTAATAAACGTTTCACCCAGACAGTGGATGAAAAAGGTGGATACTTAAGCTCTGTTTCGATACAGCAGCACGGGGAGTGACAAGGACCAGCAGGCCGTCCTCTACCTGCATGCAGCAGAAACAGCTGAAAGGGAAGCATTTATTAGCTGCTCCTATGTTATGTGTCACAGCCATATCAGGGCCTCCTGAAACTGCCTTTGTGTGGGTGTGGTGTTCTCTCTCCGCCTCCTCCTCTTTGCTTGCTCCACCCTTCTGTCTCTCTCTCACTCTCCTCTCTCCCCAGGACACAGATGCTGTTCATTGGCCTCGTTTACCACCTGGGCCCAGTCAGAAATCACCTCTCTGAGGTTGTATAAGCTGGGGATGAACTGGATGTGGGAGGGTGGTTTTCTCTGGTGTCTCCACATTGTGTTCTAGGTGTCGAAAGAGGTCCTGTTATGAGATTGTCCTGCCTGTGGTGTGGAGTTGTAGGAGCAGTGGTGAGAGTAGCTGCTTCATGTGAGTATCGTGGGCTTGTGGGCCTCAGTAGCAGTGGAGCTTGCTGCTAGTGACAGGGTGGGCCTGTGGGCCCCCGGAAGTGCCTCATGGTGTGGAGTTTTGTTCTTTGTTGTTGCGACCTTTTTCTTTTTCTAGAGTTATTGGTAAAACGGCATTGCTGGCTCTTTAGTTAAGATTATCTATAATAAAAACTATTTTATTTACTAAAAACTTCTGTCTGTTCCTTTCATTCTGTTCTGGACCCATTTGTTACCAGTCCCCACACACACCCCTAGACCTCCTTCATGGGGACGTAACATATTGTATTACTGGAAAGATTACATTTCACAGTAAAAGATGTGATATGCTAAACCCAGTTTCACTTCTCCACACAGAAGCAGATGATGAACCACAAGATTTTATAGCTGCTTTCTGAAATCTGCTCCTCCAGACCTGACCTACAGGACACACCACTGGCAAGCTCTACTCCGGTGGTGTTTGTGGATAGTTCGGCATCCCGCAACCCAGACAACCCAATAGGATATGCAGTGGTCAGAGAACATTTAGTCAGGATCATTACTAGTGATGGGTAGATGAGGCCTCGTGAAGCGTTTCAGCACATTCCCCAAACTGTATCGATACTGTGTCGACACAGTGTTGCTGTTTTGCTCCATACTGACACCTGCTGGACCTTAAATATCATTGCAGGCAACTTACTTGAGACTCACAACAGACACTGATTCAATGACCTAGTCATACTTGTATACACTGTAAGGTATTGTACTTTCCATGGAATCATTTTATATCTTTTACATTGCAAATATTTTAGACATCTTTAAAATATATTGTGAATGACATTAAGTGAAAATTAAAATGAAAGTATTGTGAATGTAATATTACCCATTTAAATGTAATTGACTCAGAGTTTTAAAAGATATATTCGTTAAAGGATCCTCTGGGCCCTATTTCAGGAAGCCGGTTTAGTGCAAACTCTGAGTAAGTATACCCTGAGTTAACGAAAACTCTGGGTTTTCGGTTTCACAAAGCGAGTTTAGATTAATTCTGAGTGAGTTACTATGACGACACACTCCGTGAAGCTAACCTGCCCCCTAGCAGGTTTACTTCAACTAACCCTGACCTTCTCCGCCTCTTTGTCGGAAACCTGACTGTAGGAAGTGTCAGACATGGCGTGCTCCTTCCTTGAAGAGCCAGTAGATGTTGAAGCCCAAATTCTCCGCAGAGCTCTCCGCCGGGAGAGAGTGATTAGAGCGCGTTTGGACATTTTATCATTTCCTGATGATTTTCTGTGTGAACGTTACCGTTTTTCAGCACAATCCATAATTTGCAGCTGAGGCTGTGTTACTTTTTTTCCGCGGAATTTGCATGTTATCGGCATATGCTGCCATCAGAATTTCGGCCTCAAGCGCTGTAAAATACATTGACCGCGCCTTCTTTCCCTCCGTCTCCATGGTGACTCGCTTCCTGAGTCACCATGACGGCTTCCTGAAATAGGGCCCTGGGCCCTATTTCAGGAAGCCGGTTTAGAAAACTCAGAGTGAAAAACGATACTCAGGGTTGAGTAACCCCGAACTGTCCAACTCGGAATATTCGGTTTCAGAAAGGCTGATAACAATTAGTTCAATCAACGCGGAGTTGCTTTAACCCCAAGTTAAGCGCGCGCACGAGGATACATAAAGCCCTGATTAGTGGAGCACAGATTAAGCGAGTCACCATGGAGACGGAGGGAAAGAAGGCGCGGTCAATGTATTTTACAGCGCTTGAGGCCGAAATTCTGATGGCAGCATATGCCGATAACATGCAAATTTTGCGGAAAAAAAGTAACACAGCCTCAGCTGCAAAACAAAGGGAGCATGCATGGCAAAACATAGCCGACAGAGTCAATGCGTGAGTGTTAATTTAAACATTGATCTAGGGATTTCCACCCATTTAACACGTTATTTTATTATATTTTATTTTATTTTTATACATTTTATTTTGTGATGTGATGTGAGCGCAGGTGCAACCCAACAGGCCCCAAACGTTCCTGGCAGCAAGTAAAAATGAAATATAAAAATATAGTCCAAACAGGTGAGGTGTAATTGTATTATGAGCCATAGTGCTTGGTCTGTTTGTCCGATGTAAATCAATTGCAGTTAGAGGCTACATTAATTTCCCCTCTGTAAGCACTTATTGAAATTATCTGAGCACATTACAAGTACATATTTGCTTACTCTGTATGCTCAAATGTGACCCGTTATAGCCAACAGAAAAAAAAGCGGAGGCCCGAAAAACAGGTGGGGGTCCTCCACCACCACCACTCACAGAGGCTGAGCAGTTGGCTTCCACATTTGTGATAATGTTGCAGGAAATGTAGTTTTTTACCATCAGGGCCTTATGAGCCTATACTGTGTTTTTAAAAGTTATGTTTGACTTTATGACTTTCTGTGTCGTTTCTGGGATGCTTAGGACTCATATTGCACTGCTGGAAATAGTTTATTTTGATGCATATGCTGTTTTTTTGCAAATTTGCATTATAATATTTATTTTCGTTTTTCCTGCAGTATATAAAAAACTAAAACAATTTTCAATTTTTTTTGTAGTTTATTGCATTTATTGCAATTTATGTAATTACTATGCACTTAATGCATACATATTATTAAAACTTTGGCTATAATGGTTGTATTGATGTATATCAACTTGAAATGCTCCCAAAAATGGCACTACAAGATGTAAAAATATAATATAAGCTCTGGCGGACTTGGTTCTATGCTAGGTCTTAAAGGGTTAAAGGATGTTTGATATGAAAGGAAGGTTGGAGATTGGCCTATAATTAGCTAAGACTGCTGGGTCTAGAGATGGCTTTTTGAGTAAAGGTTTAACTACAGCCAGCTTGAAGGCCTGTGGTACATAGCTGATTATTAGAGATAGGTTGATCATATTTAAGATCGAAGAATTAATTAATGGCAGGACTTCTTTGAGCAGTTTTGTAGGAATGGGGTCTACAAGACACGTTGATGGTTTGGAGCAGTGGTTCCCAAACTTTTTTTGCTAGGCCCCCCTTTGTTTTACAGGAAAAATGTTCGCGCCCTCCCAGCACATCCTCCAACCACACACACCCATATTTTGCTCCATTGCGGTTTATTTCACACCTCAAACATTTAGTAAACAATTAAGCAAATACAAGTAATCTGCAATAAATGACAGGTAGTAAGAAAATAAACTACTAACTCTTTTACGCTACGTCCACACCTACACGGGTATTTTTGAAAACGCAGCTGTTTCGTCCACACGTAAACGGCGTTTTCAGTGGTTTTAGCGTTTCACTGATTACTGCACAGCTGGACAGAACAGGCAAATAAAAAAAAATCATTAAAACATAACGACAACGAGCAGAGTTACACTAATAGAGTGTAACTTTGTGGGAGTCTTTATTTGTGTGGAGTTCATTTGTTCAGTTGGAGGAGTAGAACAAGAAAAACTGGAAAATTTAAATACTGACAGGAGGGAGGAGTTCTTGTGGTTAGAATTTCAATGAAATCATTTGAATGTAGAGCATTAGTCCCTCCTCTGATGTAGTATAAGAGATCCTAACTTTCAATGCTCCTTGTTTTTTCCACCTTTTCAGAATCAGAGAAGTTCCTGAAAGAATCACGGGAGGTAAGATAACATCAAATGATGGGAACACGCAAGCTAGACTTAGTTATAAATGAATGACTTGATGAACCTGATTGCTACTTACTGGGGATGGCTATAACTCAGGGGATAGCAGGTTATTTACTAATTGGGTGGTTAGTGGTTCATTCCCTGGCTGGCCCAAGTTATTCTCCACCCTACATTTCACCAGGGTGTAAATGTTAGACAGAATTCACTGAAGCATAGGAAAAAGTGCTCGTATCAATGGTTGAATGAGGTGTATTGTGTAAAGCGCTCGGACTACTCTAGTAGCAAAGGGTTATTTAAGAACAAGTCTAAATAAATCACCAAATTAAATATTTCACTAATTACGTTTTATTTACTTTAAAAACTGAAATTAGATTTTACCCTTTATATAAAAAGTTATTATCATTTATTAAATGTTTAAAGTAAGTCCTTACTTTGGTTCTTTGTCACACCACTGCAGTCTGAATGCAGACATTTAAAAGAAGCTAACAAAGTCAAAATGGTTAAAGTTAAAAGCAAGTGAAAAACCAGCCACCTCATTACTTGAGGCCACCTTTGAAAAATGATGACAAAGTCTGGAATATAGGGAATTAAAAAGATAGAAATGATTGAGAGGTGGCTCTAGATTTTTGCACAGTGTTGCAATTTTGAATAACTGTACATCAGTGAATACCCTTACAATCACAAGCTGCAAGTGTGTGTTTATGTTACTATTTTTAAGATGCAAGTTTGTCATATTTGTCACTTATCACTGTTACTTATGGTTAAATGCTTTTCTTACATTTCAGTTCCACAGACCAAAGTTTGCTGATACTTAAGAAGATACAAGACATCTGTTTCCACTACACAATGAGAATTTATTTGGTGCAAGCCTGGCGATACCTAATTAAGGGTAAAACAAAGTTAAACATAGTACTGGTCAAATATAAGATGTGATAACATTTTATAATACAGTTGGCAACACATCATAGCTTTACATCATCTGTCATGTGTTTCTGTTCAATTTAGGGTGCAATTATAAGTAATTCCAAATAAATGTTTAATTGATTTGTACCTTTGATTTATTCTAAATTACAGAAAAAAAGTTATATTATGAAAAGTGTGCTCCCTTCAAAAGCATACACAAACCGAGTTTTGCCTTCTCTTGTTTTACTTAAACAGAATTATTTGGATTATTATTAATATTATTATTTGGAGGTAAAGTTAAGGTACTTTAACTGCTAATAAATAGGGCAGTGAAGGTGATAACTGCCACGGTCCAGTGTCGGTAACAGAGTTGTTTTTTTTAGTTTGGTTTTTGTGTTCCCTCTGTTTACTGTCTGTACCATGTCTCCATACATTTCCGTTTTTATTGTGAAGGTGCGTGTCTCATGTGAGCGTATTCTGTTTCACTTCCTAGTCTCGTCTTCCCCAATCAGTCCCAGCTGTGTTGCCACCTGTTCCTCGTTCCCTCTTGTGACTGCCTGCGTATTTCTAGGCTGGGTCCCAATTCAGGGTCTGCACGCTTGAAGTACGCATTTTAAGTGCGATTACGTCACCGCCACGTGACGACGGCTGTCCCAATTCGAAGTGTACTTCAAATGCATACTCCAAATGCGCCGTCGATTTCCCCAAATATCAAGCGTGGTCCGGTGCACGCTTCGTGGTCCCATATATCCCACAATTCATAGCGCGGCGGTGGGTGTGGATAATTTTGCCGCAAAATACGGCAGAAGGGAGCGGCCGAAGAGTGAACTGTCAAAAGTAAGTACTGAATATGATGTCACTTATTTATGTGCGAATGTTTAATAACGAAGAACATTAAAACATTACTGTTGGCCACATGTCGGCAAAGTTGTGTGACATTAGTGATGTTTGTACTTTCAGCGTTAACTTGGTTTTAAAGCCTCTCTCTCTCTCTACATATATATATATATCACTCATAATAATCTGACAATACTATAATATTGGCCATATTATATTTACATTACCACAGTGAGATGATTTTAGTCTCATGAACAACATTAGCTAATTGTTATTTACTAACTAATCTTAAATGACTGTTCAGTACAGAAATGAAGCCCAACAATCATGTTTTACAGTCCTGTGGTCTCAGCCTCAGATACTCAACTAATCAAAGTGATGTCATGACAAAAATGAATGACCAACAAAACATTTTTCTCCTTCATTTATGTCACATCTCCTTTCTCCTTCATGTATGTAACGTTTCTCGCGGTTAGTATCATGGTTGCTAGGCAACCTGAACAGCGCGACGAAGGCTAGACCGTCCCATTTCACAAGCCTCTCACTTCCGCACTTCTCGTACTTATAGTACGCACCGTACGTAGTACGCGTAGTGCGCGTACTTCAAGCGTGCAGACCCTGAATTGGGACACGGCCATAGTGTGTATCATCTGCTCATCGCTGGTTTGTCTGTGCATTTCCCTGCGTCCTCCTGTGTGGGTTCCCCGAGTCTCCCTGCAGCTCCCTTTCAAGTCTGTTGGATTTAGTTCTCTCCAGTTTAGGCATCCTCAGGTTCTGTTTCATGCCCACTGCGTGTCTGTTTATTTCACCTTCCCAATAAAACTCCCTTGCATCTGAAAGCTGCCTGCATTTTGGGTCCTTCATTAAATTCCTCACTGTTTGCCCCACGAGCCGTGACAATAACTTTCTTATTTTTTGCAGACTGGAGACAGCTGGGATCAACTGGCCATTCCAGAAGAATGATTACCAGGCTGCTGAACGCTGCCTACCGAAGCCCTATGCAGCGTCTAAGAACTCGTCCACAAACTCTATCCGGTCCAGTGACTTTGTTGGGTTTGATGTGGCTCAGGGGTCGCTTCATTTCGTGGGTCCCTGTCACCAATGCAGATGATGGTACTGCCAATGGAGAGAAACCTTCTGTTTTAGGCTGGTTCACATGGTAGGTAACACAAATTTTCACAATTTTTTTTAAAAAAGTTAAGAAAACTATTGCTGTATTCTTTTTTTTTTTTTTTTTTTTAAACTGTCACCACAGAATTAAAAAACAATTCTTTAATCTAAAAACAAAATCGATTGCTCAAAAAAACAAGCAATTGTGGGAACATAATTCAAATAATTACAGTGCAAAATATTAACTTTTTCTTTTTAGGATTTTTATAACTCCTTCCAAGTACCCAGACATCATCTCCAACAGTGATCTGAATCAAAGGACCTCCTGCTGTCTACCAGCTGAGAACAAAAGAAACAGAAGTTTGGAACTGACAAGAATGACTGTTGGTGAAAAAAAAATCCAAACAAGCCAAATAAAACCATCTTACTTGGGTGAAACACGGAGCAGGAAAATCTACTCTGATCAACGCTCTGTCAACTACCATGGGGTGCAGTTTGAGGATGGAGTCTGGTTTCAGATTATAGAGGAGGAGAAGAGAAGTCAGACAGAAAGTCAGACATCAGATGTGATCGTGTATGACATCTTTGGTTTTGAAGATAAAACTCTGCCCTACTCTCTGACCTACTCTCTGACCATCATTGATACTCCTGGATATGGAGACACCAGAGGTACTGAAATGGATGATAGCATCAGTGAAAGACTATTAGACTTGTTTCAATCAGAGGATGGAGTTAACAAAATTCATGCAGTGGGTCTGGTGATGAAGGCAAGTGAGAATCGACTGAGTGACCGACAGATGTACATCTTTGATTCAGTGGTGTCTTTGTTTGGAAAAGATCTGGAGAAAAGCATTGTTGCTCTCATCACACACTCAGATGGAGTAACACCTGAAAATGCTCTCAAAGCTCTCGAAATTGCAAAAATTAAATGTCCAAGAAATGGAAATAATGAGCCTGTTCACTTCCTGTTTAATAACCAACAGAGCAAAGAGAGAACAGAAAAAAATGAATCTTGTTTGAAGACAGCATGGAGAATAACAGAGAGAGGAATGGATGAGCTCGCAGCTTTTCTAGAAAAAACTGCACCTGAAAAGTTGGTGGTAACAACTGAAGTGTTACGTGAACGCAACAGACTGAAAGCCTGCATACAAAACTTGAAAGAGAGAATAAATGAAGTTGAACTCAAGCAAACCGAAGCCAGACAGAGACAAGAAGTGTTAGAGAAACATAAAAAAGAGATGCAAAACAATGAAAATTTCTCTGTCGAAGTTCTGGAGATTTACAAAGAGAAAGAATATATAAAATCTGGGTGGTGGGGTTTGGTGTTTTATAGTGGTACTGTCTGCTGTACAAACTGTCAGGAGAACTGTCACTTGGATTGCAGAATGGCCTGGTATCCTGGACAGTGTGATGTCATGAAAGGAGGCTACTGCACTTCTTGCACCAGGAAGTGTCGTGCATCAGATCATGTGAAAGAAAATTGGAGATATGTGCAGAAAACAAGGAAAGTCTGGCAGACATCAGAAGACATGAAAAAGAAGTATGAAAAAAATAAGTCTGAAAGTCAAAAGCAGATGAGCCTTCTGGAACACCTTCAAGGGGAAATAAGCCAACTGGCAGCAAAGAAGTCACAGTTACTTGGTGAGTGCTACCAACGACTTGTCACACTGGAGCAGATCGCTCTGAAAGCTGGTTCAGCATCCACTTTTGTCCACTTGGACTTTCTGATTGAGAAGATGAAGGAGGAACAAAACACAGAGAAGGTCCAGAAACTGGAGGAAATGAGAAAGAGAGTGGATGAAGGAACCAGAGTAGGGTCATGGTATATGCAGGGAAAAAACTAGAGAAGTGGAAAAAGTGGGGTTAGGGGTAGGAATGGATGACTGAGCCTTTGTCCAGACAGAGACAGGAGAGGCGGAGTCCATCCTCCAAACGGGTTGCCCTGTTTGACCCCGGAAAAAGTTTTGGGAAAGGTTCTTCCTACTGTGTTCTATTCTGCTCATTTTCTTCCAATGAGCCGTGTTTTTGTTTTTTGGGGGGGGTTTTATAAATTTTTTTGTGTAGTTTTTTTTTGTTCCCTGTTGGGTTTGTTATTCCCGAAGGAAACCCACCCTGCTGGTTGTCACGATTACCGGAAAGCCTGCTGACGCCGTTGGGTCCTCAGTCTTTGGTTAATTTTTGCGTTTGTGTTGTGTTTTATGTTTTGTATATTGTTGTAGTTTTTGTGATTGGGGTTCGCCTTTATCTAAGTAATTATAACTCTTATATGAGCTTTTATGAGGCGAGAAATAAATATAGAAAATAAAAAGAAAGAAAATTTTTTTTAAAAGTTTTATTTAATTAATTATTAAGATCAAGAAAATGGTGTGCCGTACACGCAACGATTCGACCCTTCAAGGTTCTTCTTCAGGCGCTTGGCACACAAAGAAACTGCTGACAAAAATGTGGCTGTAATGCACAGTTCTGTGGCTGGTAAGAGATGTTCACTCTTCAACGCTCCAAATCCGAATGAGCTCCTGGCTGACTCCACCTCCCTTTATACTGACTGTGTGTGTTTTTTATGTTTTGTCAATCCATTTCCAATTCTCCTTTTGTAAAACGTGTATTAACCTTCTGCATGTGAATCCTTTTTACCATTACCCTCAAATATGAACTCTAAACATTTTACAATACACTGTTTTTAATATTTAATCTTTTTAACTGTATTTGTTTCTTGTGAAATGATGTCATGAAATAACACTGTTTTTAATGTTTTACGTGATTCCACGTTTTTTTTTATTCTAAACATCATTTTTTATCAAATAAATTTTTTTTTAATCAATTTTTATGATGTAAATAATGTCCATGTCCAATTGTAGTTAACTGTAAATATTAGGATGAGGGTTTTGTATTATGGCCCCCAGGTTAAGATTAGAATTAGGATGAGGGAGGGGTTAGGGGAAATCAAATTTGGGAGTCAGGGTTACTTTGGAGCACTTTTTTGCCACATGTATTGCAAACCACGTCTCAGCTGTTTGTGGAGGTAAAATAAGTCTGCACATGACTAAAATTACGCTCAGCCATTGTTGTGAGTGCGCACGCCAAGGGGCTGCGAGACATTTATACAGCCGTATTTCGCACATGACTATGAAAGGCGGAAGAGGAAGTAGTTCCTTTGAATGTAGACAATCCGAATGTTATAGTTTCTTTCCACTGTGTTCCTGTTAATGATAAACTACAAATTTACTCTAAATTACTAAAATATCGATATTTTAATGTGAGAATCGATTCTAGTGAGATCGAGTCAGATCCAAATATGTAGTTAATTAAACGTAGTCATTAAAATTAACAAATTATCTTTATGCCACGTACAAGGGAGACATTAATAAAGCTCTCACAGCCCTACCTTATGCTTATTATCCATACTGGACTTTGGATGCCTTTTTTTAAAAAAAATTATGTTTTGTCTCTGTCTTGATTATTAAATTTTCCACTTTCTTTAAGTTGTTTAGAATGGACTGAAATTTACAATTTTCCACTTTCTTTAAGTTGTTTAGAATGGACTGAAATTTACAAAGCTTGTCTCAGTATCTAATTAGCATCTACAACTAGGACCAATTTAGAAATACCAGTTAATCTAAATTGCAGAACAAATCCCATATAGCCACAAAGAAAAAACACGAAAGCCACATAGAGACACCAGGAAAGTGAGGTGACAGTGCTCACCACTACACCACCATGACGCTTTGGTTATATCCATGTGAATTTGTTTTATTTCAACATAAACGCATTATGTTCTAAAATTAGCAATTAATTATTTATTAATTAATAATTAATGTTTTTTTCTATAAGTAACTGGTGGTTGTTTGATGACCACTCAGCTCTGACTGAAGCGTCCTGTTGATTTACCATCACATTAATGTTCTTACTTTCTGTGGACAACTCGTCATACACAGACTTCAGAATTAGTCCAAGAATGTCACGGTGCTGGGCCATGAGGCCAGGGTTTAAGTTCTAATGCATATTTTTGTATCCACATGTGTAGTTTAACGCATCTAGTTGTTTTCTAGTTTGCAGTTTAGTCCTTGGTTTCTTAGTCCCTTTTGTCATCTCTCCCTGGTCCGTGTGTCTACCTGTCATGTTTCATGTCTCTGGTTAGGTTAAGTTCATGTTCTATCTCCATGTCTCTGTGTTTCCTGTTTTATTTTGAAAGAGTATGGTGTTCTTTGTTCATTGTAGTTAGTGTTACTCTCCCCTGTATTGTCATTATGTTTCCTTCTAGTCAGCTGTGTTCTCATGTGTCTCCACTTCCCCATGTGTGTATTTAAGTCCTCAGTCTTCCTTTGTTCGTCGCCGCGTCGTCTGTTCAACCTCCCCCATGTTATGGCAGGTTTCTCTGGTCATGTT